TGACCATGCTTTTGTGAGATGAGGGAGAAAAATGTCATATCATGGACATCGCTGATTAGTGGGTATGGAAAACAAGGTGTTATGGGACAATCCAAGTACCACATCAGTAATACAAGGGAAGGGACCCTTGTATATTAGTATCCACCAAGGTCATTAGTACGAGGCCTTTTGGGGAGAACACCCAAGAGTAAATCCGTGCGGGCTTGGCCCAAAGCGGACACTATCGTACTAATTGAGCAGCCCGGTTATGACAAGTGGTATCAGAGCCTGGTTAGGTTCGGGGTGGTGGACGTCAATTTGGTGGACCCTCATTCGGTGACCTCGGGATTAGAGTTCTGCGTCTGGCGGATCAAGATAATCGCTGAGGTGAGGACACGAAGTTCGTGGTCCTTGTCTTGAGGGGAGGATTGTTATGTGACAATCCAAGTACCACATCGGTAATACAAGGGAAGGAATCCTTGTATATTAGTGTCCACCAAGCTCATTAGTACGAGGCCTTTTGGGGAGGACACCCAAGAGTAAAACCGTGCGGGCTTGGCCCAAAGAGGACAATATCGTACTAATTGAGCGGCCCGATTTTGACAAGTGGTATCACCAAATGAGGGTCCACCAAACTGAAGTCCACCGCCCCGAACCGAACCAGGCTCTGATACCACTTGTCACAAATCGGGTTGCTCCATTAGTACGATATTGTCAGCTTTGGGCCAAGCCCGCACGGTTTTACTCTTGGGTGTCCTCCCCAAAAGGCCTCGTACTAATGAGCTTGGTGGACACTAATATACAAGGATTCCTTCCCTTGTATTACCGATGTGGTACTTGGATTGTCCCATAACAATCCTCCCGTCAAGACAAGGACCACGAACTTCGTGTCCTCACCTCAGCGATTATCTTGATCCGCCAGATGCAGAACTCTAATCCCGAGGTCACCGAATGAGGGTCCACCAAACTGACGTCCACCGTCTCGAACCGAACCAGGCTCTGATACCACTTGTCAAAATCGGGCCGCTCAATTAGTACGATATTGTCCGCTTTGGGCCAAGCCCGCACGATTTTACTCTTGGGTGTCCTCCCCAAAAGGCCTCGTACTAATGAGCTTGGTGGACACTAATATTCAAGAATTCCTTCCCTTGTATTACCAATGTGGTACTTGGATTGTCCCATAACACAAGGCAATTTCATTGTGTAAGGAGATGGAAGATGAAGATTTAGTGTCGAATGACATTACTTTGTTGTCTGATCTCTTTGCTTGCAGTCATTCTGGATTAAATAAGGAAGAATCATAATTCTTCAATAGCATGATCAACAAGCACAATATCCTACCACGAGCTGAGCACTACTCTTGTACGGTTTATCTCTTTGTCCGTGTAGGGCAGCTGGAAGAAGCGTACAATATAATTTCTAGGAACAATATTACATCGAATTCCTCATTGCGGGATGCCATTCTCGGGGGATGTTTTTCGTATGGTAACTAGAATCAATACCCACGGCTACACCGCAGGAAATTAAGTTACAATGTGAGATACAAAATAACAAACACCACATTGAAAACATTGCGAAGAGAATGTTGATTAGTGTGCCCCACTGGTCAATGATAGAGCATGCACGTCATGATATGTGGAAGTGAGTTTTTGATAGGAATATTTAGAATTTGCAGCGACGGAAACGAAGGCAATATAAAGAGTATATCAAATTCATATCAAAGGAAAAATGCTCTAAATTACTGATAGACCGTTAATTACACATGTTTTTACCCTTGTTCTTACACCGTTTGAGGTATTGATTCTCGTGTTTTAGGCCGATTTCACGCTAGGTTGTGCTTGTTTGTGATATTTCAGGTCCTAGTACGTGAATGGAGCCTTGGGAGCGAGTTTGGGGTCGATTGGACGAAGATCGGACGCATGGCGAGGTTCTAAAGAAGCCACACGGGCAGTCCTGGGTATCACACGGCCGTGCAAGTTGCATTTGTGGCCGTGTGACTTTCGCCGAGAGCAAACACGGGCATCCCAGGAAATCCGCACGGCCGTGCAACCCTGGCCGTGTGGGATGGCTGAGATCGACCTAAATGATACGCTGCGTTTTGACTCACACGGGCAACTGGGTGGGCCACACGGCCGTTTGGCCTGCCCGTGTGAGTCGGGAAATCTGGGTTTTTCAGCCAATTTCGAGCCAAAAGGGAGAGAATCGGATTTTGAGAGCAAAAACAGAGCCCTAGAGAGAGAAAGTACGAAGAACACATCCTAGAAGCTATCTTGGAGCTGGGTTTCGTCAAATCGAGCTTGGAGATCGTCATAGGAGTGGAAATCATCATCCCGGAGCAGATTTTCCTCATCATTATGAGTATGACTACTCCGATTACTGTTTTCTCTTCTCTCTCTATGGAGTAGAACCCTTCTCTCACTTGGGTATAAAGAAACCTAGTTCCTTGTGTTAGGGATTTGATTGTAATGACTTGGGATGATTATACTGTTTGATTTTAATCGAATGATGCATGTTTATTGAATTGATTGAAGTCTGATCAGCTTTTCTCAATTTCTGCTGCAACCTGAGATAGATAGAATCTGATTAGGTTGTTAGAGCCTCTTCATTCGATAGTAGGAGATTGGTTATACGAGAGTTAGCCAGTTTACTGCTTTGTACTGGAATTCAATTCCAGTAGTGGAGTTCTGTGCTTATTGCTTCAGCTTTCTATCCCGGTGAAGGCTAGTCGTCTGCCGGGTAGTTAGACTGAGAGGGCTTGGTCAGCTTAAGAGATTCCAAGCTACTGTCGGATCTTCCACAGTCTAATCAACAGTGAATCAACCCAGGGGAATTACAATTGAACCTAACTAAGGGGCTAGGAGGACTCATTCCCGAGTGACTCCTTCCTGCTTTAGAAAACCGAACCATTTCCTGCTTTCTTACTGCTTTTGCTTTAAACAACAATCAATCGAATTAGTTGGCTAGATAATAGACAATCACGGAGTAAGCAGCAGATCTAGACCCCGGGTTGATAATAGAACTTGCCTGTTACTGCATTCCCGGACTGCGATTACACTTGGTCGCAGTTTGGTGTTGTGTTTTGGCGTGTCAATTACCCATGAAATATACAACTACTTGTGTTCTCCTTTGACATATAAAGGTTGGTTGCGCCAACCATTCCTCTATATCTTTCTGATTTCTGTAACATCCCAAACCTCGGGCAATTAAAAATCAATTCGATTTGATGAGGAATCAAAAATTTCAACCATATTAGATGAAATTGCAACCTTACCAATTGGTTTATGAAATTCCAAATATTCTGGAATTATGGTTAAGTATTTAACAACAAATCCCGCCTCCGTAATTTATAAAATCTTTCCACGATCACATAGGATTTTACGGAATTACATTTGGGTTCCAAACGAGTGAGATATGTCATTTTGAAGTCTGCATTCCGGTATTGAAATAGTGTACGTACCGACACTAATTTAGGCACAACTTATTCGTTTGGAATCAAACAACGAGCCGTTTGCGCCCACGGGATCGTAATGGAAAGGAGAAAAATTTCAAAGGTTGATATAACATGTCAGTATAACTAACCACGTCTACCTGAAAAACGTACCAACCGCTAGAAATTAATGTCACATTTTCTTTGGCAAGACAGATTTGATTTATGACAAAACTGGAGATAAGAGTTGCCTCCAGCTACCCATTAGATGAAAGTAACGTGGGTGGGAAAACTTTGTCTCAAGGAATCACTAAACCAAATCTAAAGATCATCCTTTTCATCCCTTCCAACTTCACAACTCCATTTTCCTCAAGAAATAAGTACAGAGAAAGAGCGAGAGAAGGAAGAAGTGAGGAAGAAAAAAAAGGAGAGAAAACAATACATTTTTCTATTTGCTTAGGATGATATGGAGGTGTGAAACCCATCTACGGAGTTAGAATCGTAAGAGTCCATCTTTGGAGGTTCGTAAGAGTTAGTAGGAGGCTCGCTGAAAAGTTGCGTCGGGGGCACCAGCGTCGTTGACTACAACAAAACTCCAAAAGTTTGGTACCATGACAAAGAGGTAGATCTCAGGAGCGCGCAAGTTTTGACGAAACCCATTTTCGACGTCGGACAAGTAAGATACGAGCTTGTGAAATTTGGAATGAAAATCAATCGGTTCAGGTACCATTACTTTGAGTTCGAAATAATGATTTATGAATTTGGTATATTTTGGGTGAATATTATTAAGCTTTGTGTAATTTTATTATTAAAAATTTGTTTTGCATTTTTGAGAAATAAATATGATTAATGAAGAATTGATTTAAACTGAGTTTTCAGGTCAGAATTATCACGAAAGAGTTTGAGTTATTTTGAAATAAATTATGTATGAGCATTGAGAATAATACCTATAATGGTTAATTGAGTATTTAATTGAAATGGTGGAGATATTATTATTATTATTATGGATTTTGAGAAATGATTTAGATTTTGTATTTTAAGAAATAATTATAGAGAGATGTGTTATTACAGAAGACATTTCAAAATGAGCTTATGATGATCACGAGAATATATATATATATATATATATATATATATATATATATATGGAAACGACTCGTATGCGTCAGACACATACTATGCGACAGGATTCTCTACCGTAGATCTAATCTAATGGTCATTATAAATTATATTAAAATTAGTAATAATAATTACTACTTGCACCCCTTAAATAATTATATGTGCTATGTAGCCACCAAATAATAATTTGCGTTTTATTTTCTCACATGATACCTATTCGTTTTTGTGAGAACTCAGATGATACCTTATTTCTTCTAGATCTTTTAATGAACACCCAAAAATTATACAATTGATAAAATAAAGTTCCATTAAAAGGTTGCCCCAATTCAACAATCCTAAACCACCATCATCGTCATTACGACAACTCTTTCTCGAGATCAGTTTATCGGTCTACTTCTCTGTTCTCTTCTCGTTCCGTTGAATCGGTACGGCGATGGAAAACCTAATTTACGATTGTTGTTCTTCGTCTTCTCAGGACGCTAATAATCTTAGAGATGCTCTTAAGTACTCAGTTCAGATGCTTTCCGAGCTCCGGACGTCGAAGCTGTCGCCTCACAAGTACTACGAGCTCTGTAATTCATTCGCTCTCTGAACTCTCTTCAAACTCAGAACTCTGATTTTGTTTCATCGAACCGAAGAGAGTTTAGACACTGATTGAACATTATTGGCGAGGATTTGCAGATATGCGAGCGTTTGATGAGATGAGGAAGCTGGAGATGTTCTTCAAGGACGAGAGCAGGCATGGAATTTCGGTCGTCGATTTGTATGAGCTTGTACACCACGCAGGCAACATATTGCCTAGACTGTAAGTTCTTACTTACCAGTGCCTGTGTTGGGGTAATTCAACTGTTGAAGCTCGTCTTAGAATAAATTTGAATTTCGCGAGCGCTAGTATAGTGGATTGTGAAGCTGAAACGTGGTATTCGTTACCAGGTATCTACTCTGTACGGTTGGATCAGTGTATATGAAAACAAAGGAAGCTCTGCCCAAAGACGTGCTTAAGGATCTTGTGGAAATGTGTAAAGGCGTTCAGCATCCAGTTCGTGGATTGTTTCTTAGAAGTTACCTCGTTCAAGTCAGTAGGGACAAGTTGCCTGATAATTGGGAATTTGGGGGGCTAGGGAAGACGACGATACATGAAAAAACGGCATCGTTTTGTGCTCAACTTTGAATCAAAAGTGGCCTGGAGAACGGCGTCGTTCTAGAGGTGTAGCTGGGAAAAAAAATATTTGTAATGGTATGAGGGTCGAACCAGCGTCCTAGTCATTACCATGGGCATTCTTCACCATTCATGCTGAACAAGGATTTTGATTCAATATATTTCCACTGTTATATTTATAATATAAAATGAGTTCTTGTAAAATTAAAACACAAAACTAAACTAAGCAGGCCTTTTGTACCAGGCCCAATAGGGCTTAGTCGAGCAGATCGGCGGCTGCCCCTGCCCTCCCTTTGTCTCTTTAACAATAATCAATTGTAAAAAATAAAATAAAACAGAGAACAATAATGGCAAAGTTGAAAATTGGAAGACTACTTACCTACCAAATCTAGCAAACGATTTATCTTCTGCTTTTTCTCCCCTCCCCATGCGCTGCCTTCTCGGTTTTCCTTCAAACTGATCAGACACATACTCAACCGCCCTCATCCTCCCTCCGCCTCCGTTGCATGTCTCCGCCTCCGCCCGTCAAGCAACCGCTGGTCGCTCAGTAGCGTCTCCTCCTCCGGGCCACCATCGTCGCCTGCCGCCTCCGCCGCTGATTCGCTGTAGCGGTTGTGGGAAGAAGAGCGGAGGAAAGTCGCCCGGACTAACCACGTCGGTTGTGGGAAGAAGAGCGGGCCACCATCGTCACCTGCCACCTCCGCCGCTGATTCGCTCTAGCGTTTGTGGGAAGAAGAGCGAAGGAAAGTCGTCAGGAATAACCACGTCGGTTGTGGGAAGAAGAGCGGGCCACCATCGTCGCTTGCAACCTCCGTCGCTGATTCGTTCTCGATCTGCTCGACTAACCACGCGGTGTCGCCGGCCACGTTTCCACCGCCGCAGGTAATTTTCTTTAATTGATTGTTAACTATTTGGTACGTTCTATTAGAATAGTTGAACATAATGTGCTCTTATACTCCTGTTGAACATCCACAGTACGTACAAGAACAGAAATTGAGTAGGGTTTCCGTGCTGTAATTTTCTGACAATGGATTATATATCGCAATGGTACTCGTAAGTATTGTTTACCAACTAATCGTTACGACAGTCTACTCCGCTTCCTATTCCTTTTGTCAGCCATTACTAACAATTTTATTTATAGCGACTTTATGGTTGAGCCTGGTTTCGTTGCAACGCTGAAGTATGAGGAAGCAGTATCTATGTCTATTTTGTCGGATTCAATCGAGCTTACATTGGTGCAAGAGAATGGTGACGATGAGGTTATTGAAATAAACTTTTTTGTCATTCATCCTTCTCGATCGCGTTTGCAGTTATTGTGTTTCTTAATGCTTGTTAATTTTTTTTTTTTAATTCCTTTTCTTGTTTTAAATACCAGGGCACTTCTTACCTCATCTCCGGACATGTCGGCGAGGTGAAGACATCTTGGTGTGCTGAATGTAGAGTTCATTTGATCCACCTAACTATCGAGGATGATTATTTGGATCTTGAGGTTGTTTTCCCATCGACAAACTTGCACAAAATCGTTTCAGATGTAGTAAGTGATAAAGATATGGCCAATGCCGATTTCGTTACCCTTATCAACTTGCTTGGTGGAAACTCTTATGAGTTTATGGTCGCATTGGGTCCTTGGAACAATGTGTCGAGTTATTTTGTGCTGTTATTGGTAAAATTATTTTTTCTTCCCGGAAACTGAATACCATTTCAGCAATGTAAATAGAATCTACTAAAGTTGCTTAGTGTTCGCCTTAATATTATTTCTCTTGTTATGAAAGTGTACTAAGTGTGTGAACACAATGCTTTTTTGTACGAGTTCTGCCCTTCTTAATGAATTGTTGGTTGTATCTTTCTAGACTTATCGAAACATTTCTCAATTACTTATAAACGGGATAAGTTGCCTAATGAAAAGTAACGAAAAAAATTCAGGTTAATTTGGTTCAAATTACTGTATCATCAACATACCACACCCCAATTCGACTATCCAAAAGGCCATTATCTGTTCACCCAAGCTACCCCATAGCTAACCATTTATCTCACCAACAGCCATCAAAACCCAACAACCATCAAAACCATGGTTATCTCCAATTACTGCCCAGCGAAGACGATGAGACATGACAAACGTCGTTGTTTGTGCTTGCTGCTAAAGCGAGAGTGTCCCCAAGACGACGTCGTTCCACAAGCGTAGCTGAAACATGATTACATGGATGTGGGTAAAAGAAATAAGAGAATATGGAGAATCGAACAGGCAACCTTGCGATGATAATAGCAAATCTTAACCATCAATGCTGTATAGGTATTTTGATAGTTTAAATGTACATTTTTTGTATACATATGTTGTAACAATTAAACATAATAACAAAAATAATTAAGGAAGTAAAGCAAAATAAATGAAGACGACAACAATTTTTGTATAGAAGTCAATGGCTTTACCGTGACTATATTATATGAAAAAGCTATCTACATGTGCATACCATGCATTTGGACAATAAACCTTCCATACTACTTGTAGACACCAATTTTTGTCCGGGTTAAAACATTTTTAATAAAATGTTAGTTAGTTTCAATTTAAGGTTTGCAATAGCAAATCTTTAATGGCCTTCTAACTAAAACGTATTTGTAGTGTTTGGGAAATGTATTGGTTATCATAACTGAATAAGATTAGCAATAGCAAATCTTATTTGGTACCAATGTAGTCAAAAGCGAGTTTCTACGTAAAAACGTTTTGGTGATCTAAAAGCGTAAAATCGTAAGTTTTTAAGTTTTAAAGCGGAGTTTTTAACTACATAAGTTATAAAAACTAAGATTTTGTGTACAAGCGTTTTAGTGACATAGAAACGTAAAATCGTAAATTTTTAAGTTTTAAAGCGTGATTTTGACTACATTGTTTGGTACAATTTGGATTATTGAGATTAGCAATAGCAAATCTTAATCGATACAATTTGATAGTGATGGCATGCTTCAGTTAGACGATCTAGTTTTAAATCGAAGGAGTTAGGCTATGGAATGAATACTTGTATGATTCTCTACCGTAGATCTAATCTAACAGCCACTTTTGAAAGATGTTGCTTGCGTGCCAGATATAGCCATTTTCGTTAGAAACTATGACCGCGTTAATAACTCCGTCAACTTATTTGACGGTTCGCTGACGAGGCGCCAAATCATCAACCACATCAGCGACAACAAAGCAAAAATTGACACGTCATCTTAATAATTTATTTATTATTAAAAAAATTTAAAACTTTCTCCATCTACCTGATCGCACGAGGCTACCAAAAATCCCCATCTATTTCTAGAAAACGAAATTAGGGCTTCCTTCTTCTCCATCTCTTTCTAGAAAACGAAATTAGGGTTCTTCCCAAATTTCCTCTTCCCCACGAAGGAGATACACGAAGCTGATCGATGCTTACTCCTCTTCCCCAAATCTTCTTCTAGTTTCTGAACGACTCGGCGCTTCTTCCTTCTTCCCCAAATCCCACTTCTTCTCGGCCGATTTGCGACCCCGAAATCGCAATTTCTCCTGGCCCGAACTTCACGCGAAGGTCAGCCATGTCCAAGCGAGCATCTTCCTCAACTTCGACTAGCATCAATAGCCGAGGGGCGGTACTCTGTTGGCACAAGAAGCCATGTGTGGTGAATACATCTGGAACCGAAGCGAACCCAGGAAGATAGTTCTATGGGTGTCCATTTTGGATGGTAAGGTGTTTAGATATGGGTTTTGAAATTGTCATTGATGTGGGTTCTAAGTTAAATGCTCGTATGGTGCAGGACGAGAAGAAGAACTGTCATTTTTTTAGGTGGGTGCGAATGAATGTCGATGAAGATAAGCACCATGAATCTGAAATTGGGTGTTCGACTTTGAATATTGAAGAAAGTTTTAGGCTAGCTGAGTGTAAGGCGGAAAGGAGGAAGAAGGAGAAGAAACTTTTGGCTGAAGAGCTATCAAGATGGATGAAGGCACATGAAATTATGCTAGCTGAAGGAAGGAGAGTTAATCATGAAATCCATGTAATTCGAGCTTTATTGATAGTGATTGTCATACTGAACCTAATATTGGTTATTCTTATGTTGCATCACGTTATTATATGGTAGGAAATTAATCGACATTGGTATGAGAAGCAAAAGGTTTCTGAAAACGTAGTTGTCATCCTAAATGTTGTGTAGAAGCAATTGGTATTTGTGTTCTTAATGTAGTTGTGTTCTTAATGCTTGTTACACTATATTGATTTAGAAAATGACACACATTTGTCAATTAAGGCTGGCTACATAACTTGGTTTGTCTTTAGGGTACGTTTAAAATCAGGGATAAAATGTTGGAATTCCATTAATATGTTTTATAGGGTATGTGATTGTATTTGGTGCAGAAGACCACCTGAGTGGCAGGTAGCAGACTAGCAGGTCCCGAATTTGGCATATGACACGAGTGGTTCTTGTAGATGTGGCACTATAGCATTGGTATTTTTAGATAGAGTGGATGCAATAGAAATTCTTCCATGCTCCGAGATCACCATGTCATTTTACTGACATGGTACTCTCAACTAATAAAAAACAGCCACTTGGAAATTGAGTAATTAATAAAATACAGAAATGGAATTGACTCGCATTTAATTAGTTTCTCAATTAATTGGTTAATCTTTCCTTATTGATTACTAGCACAGGGCCCGGCCCTTTGGCCGGCTAGAGGCCCATTAATCCAGCCATAAGGCATCCAGGCTCAATTGAATTAAAGGCCCAATTTTTCCCCTTTACTTTTATAAATTGAGTAAAATTATTAAACTAAGAAATAGTAACCCAAAATCAAAAGACGAAAACGGTTCAGTTTCCTTCTTCTCTTCCATTCCTCTGTTCAGTCTCCGACGAAGACAACAAAGGGCCACCAAATTCATTGCATGGACGTCGTTCCCTGTCTTCCTGTCTGCGTGACCGACTGCATTCTCAGTTC